AGGACAAGCAAGGGGGTAATTAGTGCGGTTTTCTGCGTAGCAGATTTAGTGCACAAGGAGGGGGATGATCCTGTTGTCAGTCTCCAACAAAAGAAAAATGCCGAAAGAAAAAGGTGTATGCATAGTCCATTTTGCCAACTTCAAACTAGGAGTGATGTCCTTTTTGTTGACGTGAGGAAAGATTTGCATAATCAGAAACAAAACTCAAATTAGACTTTGCATCTAATGGCGTAAAGTTGGTTGTCGTCGCGAACTTTAGTGAAACTTTGGTAGGTTGTACGTTCGTGTACCGTTTTATCACAGGATTTTCCGGTAATTACACTTAAATCGCACATAAATTGTAAAGATTATGTTCATACTTACTACTTGGCATGCTGACAAATATGGTTCCGTATACCAGGCAGCATGGAGCATGTAGGCCTGGGTAGGAAAAGAGGGGATTGTGTATAGGCCAACCCCCGAACTGTGGGGTCCACCCCGCTCCCACGTAGGGATTGTGTCTTGAAGTCGGAGGTTGTTCCATTTATTGCACTCATGCCCGTTTTTGCTTTCTGATGGATTGGTCACTGTAGCCTAGTAGGGAATAATTACTGGTGTCCATATATGGAACTCTTTCCTAATATCACGACCTCCTGAGCATGCTGATCATCTGATCATGCTGATTGTCTTTTCTTAATCTTAACCGTGTCACTTGTTTGCTGTACAAGAGCTTCCAACAGCAACTTTTTTGTTCTTCGTTAGTTTTAAGATTTTCGGAGTGTGGCCTCTTGTACCTTGTGTACTGGTACTTGTCACTGTCTCAAAAAACTGTCTGCCATCAGTGCTCTTAAATGTCCTTTTACTTAACCCTGTACCCTGCCAAACACAGCACATGAGTGACACTGGCCATGTTGAGAAAATCCTAGTCCCTTTGAACAATGCCACTGTTATGACCTGTTGGATCTTGTAGTGACCAGCAACCACAGACTCCCAGGTTGTTTGGCCTTGGGGAGAGTTGACCTGTTGGATCTTGTTACACTGGGCAGGCAAGCCACTTATAAGGCAGGCAAGCTACTAATAAGAAACCTAAACAACCAAAAAGTGTTGGGCATGACCCATGGTGCATCGTTAATTAAATGTCCTCCTCAGCAATTTGTAAACCCTTGGCCAGCACCATTAACCCTAACACTCCTCAGTCCTCCAACAGTTGAAGGATTGAGGAGTGTTAGGGTTAATCTTTCTTTCACAACTGGTATTGTTCCTAAACAATTAAAGATTGCAAAAGTAATTCCTGTATATAAAAATGGCGATCCTAATATCATCAACAACTACCGACCCATTTCTATATTATCCTGTTTTTCTAAAATATTCGAAAAATGTGTGTATATATGTATTCTGAAGTTTTGAAATAAATTTAGTCTGGTAACTGACTCTCAATTTGGTTTCCGTACCAATCATACTACTACTCATGCAATCGTTGACTTTCTGGACAAGGTGTCTTGTGCTATTGATGATCCCAAACACACTCTGGGGATATTTCTCGACCTTTCTAAAGCTGTTTTAAAACAGACTTGGTTTTCTTCAAATATTTTTGGATAAACTTGATTTGAGCTGTTAAATATGTAATGCAGCATATTTCATTTAAACTGTGTGAGAAACAGAATGAGCGCTGTGCTCAGTGACAGTGAGTGACGGAACAAATCTCAGATTGAAAACAAAAACCTACAATTTACAATTTCTTTGTGAGGTAGTTTTTTTGAAGGGACCAAGCATTAATCTGATCCACTCTGTCAAATTGAGGCTTAAGTTGCCACTCCATTTGTGTTATCATTTTAATATGAATGTGAATTGAAAGCAGAATTTATGTATGGCATCACCATACTGTGTTGCTATAAATCATACATGTACTCGGTCCTTTCTAGAAGGGTCAACAAAGAATAAGCATTTCCACATCAAATTTCTTGTATCTTCTGATCCTCGTACATGAACAGCGCATTATCATTGAAAGAGTGAATGGATCAGTTTCGTGTATCACTAAGTTCAGGACCAAAAGCATTGCTTAAATCCCAACACAGGATTTGAAACACTAGTGGGTAGGTATACCCTACATTTAATTCATTAGAAAGCATCAAAGTCACGAATACTTTTCTTTGTGTTCAGTTTGTTGATGGCAACCTGAGGATGCCCTAGATTTGGTGCCCAATTGAAATGTCTGCCCACACAGTACTACATATTTATATTCTTAGATGGGATATTAGACTTAATTGGGCTTAGAATTCAGGCCTAGTTTGAGTGTCTAGTCAGCTGACATAACTCAAGGTATTGTTTTCCTCAATATCAGTTAACATTCCAAACAGGATTACATACAATGTGCTGTTACTTTAAATTCTGCACCTTGATTAGTGCGTCGAGTGCAATTGTATTATTCATGACAGTTGCAAGCAAGATCAAGTTTTTGTATCCTGTTGAATGAGAGCATGTGACCCTGGGTAATGTGTAAGCTTCATGCGTACATTAGCTGCTTCAAGGTATGGTGGACACAATAGGAGGGCGCTGTTTGGTGTGAGTAAACTCCAAATACCTCCCTCCTTTTGCACCGGCTGGGCTTCAAAATGGCTGATGAGAGAGGCTGATCATTTGTCAGGGGTGTGAGTGGCCCCGTAAAGCTGAAAACAGCTAGCAAAAAGCTGAAATGTAGAAAGTTTCCATATTTTTGTACAGACCAGGTGTACAAAAAAGCAGAAATTCAGGGTCGCCATCTACACAAAAAAAAGCTGAAATCAGCTTAAAAGGTGAATTCTCACACCTCTAATTTATCCAAGACAGACATTCGCTTAGTCAGGGGAACCAGATGCACACCATTGTTTTGTCTTAGGCTGCGTCCTAGTCACTTGGTTGTAGCTTGATATTACACACTAGTCTATGGTTGTGGCTGCAGCCAGTTCCCATTAAGTTGTGTGCAATTTCAAGCCACAGCCAAGCGATTTGGATGCGGCCTTACTCTATGGAGCTTGAAAATGGTGTCATGTTTTTCAGGACTTGCTCTGAAAGTACTGAAAGGAAAGAGTTACTGTTTCAGTCCCTATTTCTTTCGTGTAGAAGTAAAGTGCACGTGAACACAAGGCATAACACCATTACACATTCTATTGAATCTGTGTCATGTTATCACCTGAGTTTTAATGTCGTAGCTAGATGTGTAGTACACAGCTTATATCAAGAAATGCCAATTTACTCCTAAAGCCGTTTGGGAACAAGGTCTGGTTCTCCAAAAGACATTACTTGTGAATGACCATGAAAACACGCATGCTTTTCTGGAGACTTAACATTTAATTAATGCACATATCTTCAGTTGATTAATTTCAATGTGGCCTGTTATAATTCATACACTATCTTGTTTACAATCAATCAGCTTTTCAATCTTGTTACCAAATACAAAAATTATAAGTATGTACAATGTTTATTAAATACAAGCAGTTTTAGGCTGCAGTTTTGAATCTGGTCTCCTGGCTAGAAGTCCGCAAGGCCCAAGTCTTTTAGAATGGGACAGTCTTAGTTTTAATGCCCACAAATATGTCATTTCCAGACAAGTGAAATCTTGACAGTTCAAGGGTCTTATCATTGGCAATAAAGATCATCAAGTGGGTGTCAAGAAACTTCAAAATCTGATTTCTCACAAATGCTTCAGCTGCAACTCGTCACCACCCTGGGGTTCACTGGTAAATCAGTCTGGAGTATGACCGTATTTGGACAATCTACATGTCACAAACCTCATGCAATCTGACCAATCACAAGATCTTCTAGCACCCCGTAAAGGATTATGGGTGTTTCCAGGACAAAGAGTGCTTTTTGCAAACACTGGAGCATAACAGAAAACACCGACCAAAAAAGTCTGCAAACGTTTGATTGGCTGAGCAAAAGAAGGACCATTACAGGCATCATCTACACATTCTGAAACACGTTTGTACCGATGCAAAAAGAAATTCATCATTGCCAACTTAAAATATATAACAAATGTTTTGTCAATGACCACCGCAACACAGTCAATTGGGGCACAGGGGAAGGTCACTATGCCCATATGTGGCAATACTCCCGACTGTAAATACAATGCCACGAACATTTCCAGTCTAGGCTCAGATGTCGTCCATGAACTCCACGATACTGGTGTCTTACCAAATGTGGCAATAAATGAATGCGCATGGTAAACCGGGCTGGTCTAACGAGTCGCTAACACTGGCAGGCTCTGTGAGAACGGGGTAACCTGTTGACAGTGCGTTCGACTGCTTCCCCCGTGCTTACTGCATTCGATTTAATACATGCACGTGACTTCTTGCACTGACTTAAGTCAGCCCAGTTCCTAGTGTGCATGTGTTCCCAATTAGTATTATCCCTCGCACTGGATCAGAATTGGTTCTTTGCCTCTACTCTCGTCATGCTTCTACAGTGTAAAGCAAATGGAATTTTCAAAGTTGAAAATTTGCCAAACATTTGGCTGACCTCAAAAAATGTAAGCCATGCCATGCGTCTGCATCTGTTGGCTTTTGAGCAATGGCGTGGTTTGGCAGTCCCGTACAGTCGGCACAATGCAAGGAATTAGTGCGCACTAGTTTTTGGTACATGTGAGTGGATCAGCAGCCAGTTGGATCTTCACTAGGTGATCCTTGAAGTTTCGTAATGCTGGGGCACAATGGACCACAGAAGAGAGTGTTTTGGGGTACATCTTCTGGTAACATAGATGTAGTCTTTCAAAAACTAGAAATATCAAACCTAAGAATAAAAATTGCCCTTTGCTCGAGCTTTACTGAAGACTGAATTCCTCTTGGAAACAGTGGACTACCAGCAAAAGTTGGACATTCTGTGTACCGCTTTTCACTGGTTCCGGCTTTGGGGTTGCACAAAAACTCTGCCAAGCGATTACTTCTCCAAAGTAGACGATTTATGACACATGCCCAGTGCAAAGGTGGGGGATCTACCTTTGTTTTTCTAAAGAAGTGAATATAAGGGGATGCAGTCAGTAAATATCTTATGTACAAGAATTGACATTGGACATAAATCAAACGTAATGTGGGCCGATATGCAGCAATGCTTATTTCTCCTTAAAAATGTACAAATTTGGCGCTTTTCAGTGTAATCATTTCTTCCGGTACATTTTTAACGACCATCAATCAAATGTTCCTCAGGCAGATGTAGCCATCCATTGCAAGCTCTCCTGTTTGACTTCCTTGAGTGAATGATTTTGAGAAACGGAGTAACACCGCCTGAGAGATGACGGACTTAAGATGCCCACAGGAGGAAAATAACATTCTGCAAAACCAGACGGGCTCCGTCACGGCTGTTTGTTGCGGTAGTGTAGCGTGAGATCGCCGCCGCTCTTCCATATGAAATGCTTGACGGTACGCAAGTCCATGCTGGCATCGAGAACCTGGGAGGGGTAGAAAAACAAAAAAACACTCACAATGAGATTGAGCCGAGTAACAAATGTGGACGGATGACGGTTGTACTGTCGTCCTGAGGACGTAGAAATCTGACCCTGCACTGTGTACACTCAGGCACGGCTGACGGGATTATGTTTCTGTGCGTCTTGACTTGCTCTGGCCGGAGTTTCAATGCCCTAATCCCCCCAGCACACACAAAGTTGGAGAAGTCGTTCAGGAGGATGCGAGGGCGCTATGCATAGATATCACTCACTCACTTTGTTTGGATTGTGTAACAAAATGCGTACTTGCTCCGGTTCAGCCAGTCGGCTGGACTTGGAGGACATGAGGGTATCACGACTGGATATCACTCACCTGGTCCTGGTTAAAATTCATTTAGACGAGCAACAAATGGCTTGTTCACGATTGCTCAGTCAACTGGGGACTGAGATGAGATATCACTCACCCGGACCTATGCGTAGAACTCACTGTGACCAAGCAACACACCAGCTAGTTCGGTTTGCTCAGTCAAAAGAAGATGTGAGGGCATCACTAATTACCTGGTCCTGGCACAGTAGTTCCACCTTGTCTTCATATATGCTAGGCAGGTCCTCGTCTCCATCCTGCGGTCCTTTGCCATTCATTCCCGACCCAGCATCCGCCCCCATCACCTTCTCATAGACATGCTCGAGGACTTTACGAACCTGTAACATATCGCTGGCAGACAGTCTGTCCCTGCGAGGTAATTGGATGGTGCTGGTAAGGAAGTGTCTTGACACACTTAAAACATTCCACTGGGATAAACTACATTTTAATGGTGTGTGACGCTATTCCAAGGGAAAAAAGACAGCCCATGCCAGACAATGAGACGCTTTCACGGCCAACAACGGGTAAACAATAATGCAACAGTACATCATGAGTGAAAGTGTGACACTGTGCATGGGAATAAGACATTTTATGAAAAGACTTATACCTTCAAATTTATATTCGCATTTCTTGAGGGTTGAAAATATTTCCCCACTTGTGTGTAAAAGTGTGAACACGTTTTCCCACTCGTGTGAAAAAGCACAGAACTTTTTTCCCACTGTAGGAAACTGTTTTCACATGTTGTGAAAAAAACACAACACGAGTTCCCTGGGAAGAGATAAAGCATGAAAGGAATTTCCCATTTCCAGGTTGACTTTCAGTGGGAGACTTTTGAGACACAGATGGCAGGAGACATACATGTGCCTGTCCTTGCCAGTGCTGGGCTGGGAAGCTCTGAGCAGGTGTGCGTATGTTTGAGCATGCGCATGTCTGTGAACAAGGACTGTTATGTCTGCTGCTGCTACCCAACATCTTAAAGCCTCCCGTTGTAATGTACTGAATATACTTGTTACAGGTTCGCATAAATTTCGACAATATCTGCACTCTAACCGTCCTATGCTGAAGTCACTCTTTGGGTCATTTGGTGAACACCTCAAAGAAACACGGCTGTGTCGTGTTGTGCACGGCACCAACAGTCCCTCACAGGAATATCAGATTGCACTTTTGTGCCGCCCAACAACTGTACTTCACTGTGTCATGTGCATAACTGT